ACAGTTTCAGATAAAGTATCTGATACTATTTAATATCTTAAATTAGTAGAACTCTTGAGAGATCATTCTATACAGTTATTCACAGTCTGAATAATCAGTTATATATAAATTATGCATCTCTTGTATTATCTGAGTGTATAAGAATTTGAAGTGAGAGATTCAGTATTATTCACAGAATTATAGAGTATTATTATTATTGATTGAATATTCTGAGATATCAGTTCTTATACATAGTTCTGAAGAAAATCAGAGTACTTTTTAATATACTACTTCAGTGAGAATCTGAAGAAGTTCATTTATCTAAGCTACTGTATATCACAGTTTATTCAGTGTAGAAGAAGTGAAGATATCAATAACAGTTCTAACTGAAGAAGTATATATAATGTCATAAACTGTTTCATCTTAATTAACTAGTATCTTTAGATTCAAGAGCTGATGCTCTCAGTTCATTCAGTGAGTATCTATTACATCAGATAATATATCTTACTCTTATTATAAAAAAGCATCTGTTATTGAGTTCTAGCTATCAGAATAGTAGTATATTATAAAATAAAAACAGTTTAAGAACTCAGATCATTGTATCTATTATTTAGTAAGTTTATAGATAGTTATAAAGTATTTAAGATTCTTATAATCTATGACTATCTCAAATTCAGAGATACTTCAGAGTTCAGAGTTCTATTCTTCTAAACAGTGTATAATTATAAGAAGTTTCTTATTATAGATCTCATAATTATATTCAACAGAACTCAGTTTCTTAGATATAAAGATATATAATTGTAGAATATCTTCATTATTATATTATAATATCACTTCTTCTATTATATAGTCAGAGAAATCAGCTTCAATAACTATCTTATAATCAGAATTAAATATTATTAGTAAAGAAGTATTAATGAATATCTTCTTTATCTGTATAAATACAGCTTCAGTATTTACTAATTATTGAAATACTGAGTCTTTCTTAGTAAGATCTGTAAGTGATCTTATAATATCTGAGAAGTTTTGTATAAATTATTAATAGAAGTTAGTAAATCTGATGAAGTTTCATATATCTTTCACAGTATACAGAGCTTCTCATTCAAGAATAACAGAGATTTTCTCAGAATTCATTTGAATTCTCTTATCAGCTTCTATAATAAAACTCAGATACTTAATACTCTTGACTTTAAAATCACACTTATCAATATCTATCAGTAGTTCTACTTCTTATAGTTATTATAATATCTTTTATATATACTCTTGATATTCTTTTCTAAATTCATCAGTGAAGATAAGAATGTTATCTAGATAAGTAGATACAAACTTATTAAGAAAATCTTGAAGTGCTCAGTTAATATACTTCTGAAATATACTGAGAGTATTAGTCAGTTCAAAGAATGTGACTATTCATTCAAAGAGACTATAACATGTTCAGAATACTGTAAGTTATTTATCTTCTTCAGTGATATGAATCTTATGAAATGTGATAATAATATTTAATTTTATAAATCATTGAGCTCATCTGATTCATGCTAGAGTTTCATTGATAAAAGATAAGAGATATCAATCTTTCTTTATCAATCTGTTCAGATCTCAGTAGTTCATACAGAATTAGAGTTCTTCATCTAGTTTTTTTATAAAGAGAATAGAGACTGCAGTGAAAGAGTTGTTAATATATATAAATTCTTTATTTAACAGATTATTGAGTGTCTTTTAAAGAAGAAGAAGTTTATCTCAGAATATGTTATAAAGAGAGTCTTATAATAATTCAGAATTCTTATCATTCTTTTTCTCTAACTTGATACTATGATTCACTCTGAGATCTTATAAGAGAGATATATTTATAATATTATCTTATTAAAAGATATCTAGATATTTATAATATTATTAAGAGAGTTTTATATAAGAATCTATTATTATAATATAAGATAATTTTTCTAGAGTCTTTTTAATATCAGTCAGACTAATAAAATAGATTGATATATAATTCTACTATCAGTGATTCTTTTAGCAACTTCTTTTTCTAAGTATTTTATAAATATTGACAGAGATCTGTGTCAGATTAATAGTTTTATAAATATCATCTTTATAAATTCTATCATTGTTAGAGAATATCAAGCTTCTATTTTAAGTATTTAATAAGATATCTTATTCAGATAGTCAGATAAGTTCTAATATAAGATTATAATCAAGATTATCAACTTTATATATATAGATATCTTTATATTAATATTCTCTTACATCTATAATTAGCTTTATTATGTAATGAGTATAAATATCTTTTGAATTGTCAAATTCTGTGAGAAGTCAAGATTTTAATAAAGAAATATACTGAAGATTATAATATCTTATAACTGAAGATTTTATTATTATATAGTGATATAGATTACTGTCTATTATAGCTTTTATATTATATATATTATCAATCACAGTAGATATAAGAATTATATTCATTATTATCTTCTCTTTAAATCATTATTATTCAATCTCTTCAAGCTTTTATTTATGAATTTGAATAGAAGCTAATCTTTTTTCTATTTCACTGAGATATTTTTATAGTTATCTTCTGAATCTTTCTCTAATATAATATGATTGATGTGAATAGATACTAATTCATTCTTTAAATAAGAAGATGCTGATCTTTCTCTTAAGTATGAAGATATATAGATTAATCAGCAGTTGAAAGTAATATATTCTAATCAGTTACAGTTGATATATACTCTATATTAATATTGATCAGCAACTTCTTCAGAAGTAATTTCAGAGACTCAGAAGTCTATCTGAACAGCAGAGATTCTTGCTTATATATAGATATTCAAGTCTACTCAATTCATAATATCTGTATCATTGTTATTTCTCAGTGTAGATATATAAGTTACTGAGATATAATATCTTCTATTACTATTCTGTATATTCTTGAGCTTAGTAAGATAGTTATTCATTATCTGAAGCTGTGTACAGAAGTCTTTATAAGTCTGATCTTTATCTACACTTATAAGAGCTTGTAAGAGTTTAAAAGTTAATATCTTCTTAAGTATGCTAATCTTCATTCAATTCTCTCAAGATTGATTATCTACTTCTAGAATCTTGATATTGAAGTCAGAGATGAATATTATAAGAGAAATATTTCTCTGTTAAATACTCTATAGTTAATCTAATACTTTCTATTATATAACAGTATCTTAGAACAGAATATCAAGATATTTCATAATATTATTAGATATTTATAACACTGATTTATATACTTTCATTTATAAATGAAACTTCTATTTCATGCAATCTTTCAATTATTCATTAATATATTAATCTTAATTAATTAATGAACTGATGATATCTTTATCTACACTCAGTTTCATAAGTATTTTCATTCTTTATAATGAGTAGAGAGTGAGATCAGAAGTATTAAAATATATAGAAGTATTTAAGCATTCTTTCAGCACTTTTATATTCAATTCTGTAGATGTTGAAATTATATGAGTTAATTATTGAATCTCTTTGTATTGATATTATTAAGTTATATATATATCAGCTATTTATTATTATTATAGTTTTAATATTACTCAGAGTCACTGTAACACTGTATCTATACTTATATTCAGAGATTCTTTCATATTATCATTAGATATGATTATATTGTTTATTAAATATGTGATATCTGTGAAATTTAAAGAAGTATAATTATATGAATATCTCATATATCTGAGTGTCAGAACTCTCAGATCTTTCACTGATATTCTCTTTATAAAATCTTATTACAGAATCAGAGTGACTGATAAGCAGCTTCTATCTGAGAACTCAGTGTTCACTTAACTATTTCTCTATTTCTTATATATTATTATATATTTGAATATCTCTTGATGAATAATTATTTCTGATAAGAAGATAATACATAAATAATCATTTTCTAATAAGAAGATAATGAACATTTTTATAGTGTAAGAGGCCTACACTGAATAGATTAATATAATATTGATAGATCTTATATAACAAAGATAAAAACATTAGAGAAGAAAAGAAAGAGAAAGTATGAGAATTGATGATCAAGGTGGATATTTATATGTGTATGTGGTGATGTACACAGTGGAGCTTCGGGGCGGGAGAATATACGCGCGTTCATAGCAGCCGAGGATCAGCGATTGAGAATGGCTGAGAATCGGAGTGTACGCGTTCAAGAATGAAGTGGTTGAAATCTGTGGAGTGTAACAGAATAGTCTATATGATTGATCGGGCGCAGCCCGCCACAATAACTATTATTATTATTATTAATAATATTGATTTTGTAAATATAAATATAAGCTCTGAGAAATCAAAGATATTAAAAACTCTATTAAATTAATATTATAATTTTGATCATATTTATATTAATACTATAATTACTATAGTCAAGAATTTTTATATCAGAGTTATAATTAAAAGTTTTAAGACTTAGTTTTTTTATAAAGAGTGTGTTAAAGCAGATATAACATAAAATTATTCAAAAACATTTATACTCTTTAAATATCTCCACAATCACAGGTCAGTCAGAGATCTTCCAAAATCAAGAAGATTGGCAGATAGAGCTAGGTCTCTTCACCTTACAATTTGTATGGCAATTTGACCCGGGGTTGTGAGTGTCATGGGAAAATCCCATGCGGGGGCTTCCAACTGCATTTGGTTGAATAACTCCACCACCAGACAAGGTATGTGGTGAGCGTTGGTGTCAAAATGCTCGTATGATCGAGGGCTGTTCGATGGATCTATTGGCGGTTTCTTATTCGAAAAATTGAGCGAGTTCGTGGTGGAGCGGTAGGTTCATAATAAGAATATATAAAATATAAAATAAGTGACAATTAAATACATGCAATAATAACTTTTCAGCTCAAAAACATAGAGCAATTGATTGTAGTGATTTATACACCTCTTTGTTTATTAGAAATCTAAGGTGCTTAAGTTCCAGATTTAATGTATCCCCTGCAGCTTTTGAACCTGCATGCCTTTGGTTTCCCACGCCAAGGCACTTTTAATATAGTCTCAGACACAGTCATACAGCCAGTCTAATAACAGCACACATAAGACAAGAGAATTATGAGAAAAGAAAGAGAAAACAAAGATCTTGAGGAGAAGATATTCAAGCAGTAAAGATTTATATAGTTCAGAAAGCAGTGATGTTTGATGTTGGACTAAACCCAATTGAGTGGGAGCTAAACCATGGAAGGTAAGTATACCTTAGGTACTGTTTGTTTATTCGCTCTCCACTCCATCTCCTCTTGATATTGACTCTCAGAGAACAATCCGTATTCCAAGGGTTATTAAATATCTCTGATCCTCTATTTGCCGAGAGGTAACTCACCCATATATATGTATTGCCAGCAGCTCATTGACTGAGAATTGGCACCACATTTGGCCAATTAAAACAGCGGTTTTGGTGTTTGGCTAGCCCTATCCTAGGCATCGCGTGGATATTTACATCCACCTTCTCTTCAATTTAGATATATCCACTTCAGCTTCAACTAGCTTGCTGTGCATTACATACGAACATCAATTCCCCCTCTCATACACAACAAAAACTCCACCCAAGAAAATCATTTCCTCTACAGTTAAAAGAACAAGGCCTATCTTCCTCCCTCGCCATCAACATGGCGCTGCGGGATCACGACCTGCCCTCCGATGACGACGAGAACGGCGCCCTCTTCGCCGCCCTCGAAAGAGAAGAAGATAACCCCTCCTACAAAGCCCAGCGCATCGAGCAACTACAATCAGAACTAGCCTCCCGAGCCCAGCAGCAGCAACAACAACAGCAACAACAAAAGGACAGCAACAGCAGCAACAACGCCGCAACCCTCCAAAACACCCTCGTCCCCACCCTCCCCTCTGACCAGTCGCTCCTCGACTTCACAACCCGCCACCCGCGCTGCGTCATCCACTTCTCCCACCCCGACTTCGCCCGCTGCGCCGTGATGGACAAACACATCCACGCCCTCGCCTCGCTGCACCACGAGGCCCGCTTCGCGACCGCGGATGTGCGCACGATCCCGTTCGTCGTGGAGAAGCTGAAGGTTAAGGTGCTGCCGTGCGTCATTGGGTTTGTGGACGGGGTGGGCGTGGAGAGGATTGTGGGGTTCGAAGGGCTGGGGTATGGGGGCAGGCTGGATGCTGATGAGGAGTTCCGGACTGGGGAGTTGGAGAGGAGGTTGCTGGGGCGGGGGTGTTTGATTAAGCGGAGGATTGGGGAGGGCGATGAGGTTGGGAGTGATGTTGATGGGGAGGGGGAGGAGGAGGTTAGGAGGAAGAAGGGGGGAAGGGGGATTAGGGGTGGACTGAGGAGGGGGACGGTGGTGAATGATGATGACGAGGAGGAGGAGGATTGGGATTGAGGGCGGTTGTTGGGTTCTTTTGTGGGATTTGGGCATATTTTATGTGGATTTATGCGTGATTGCGCCAGATGGGATATCTGGTCAGGCGGGGGCGTTTATTCTACTTCCTTGCTATCAGCTCAAGATACTGATGCACAGGGTAGTCGAATATATGCAGCCCCTAGGTAACCCTCATTTTTCTTTAATCGAGAGGAAGGAAAACAGGCTATGGCACTTTGATGATATATCGCCCACTGTTTACGATTTGCTATTCCTAACGAGCCAGCCATCTCACCGTCCCTACCGACGATGGGAGATTGACTACGCACACCCCCGTTGGGCATCTCGCCATCGCCTTATCCTCTCTACCTCCGGGTATTCTTCCCATATCCTGAAAGAAGAGACAGGCTTTTTATTTCTGGGTAGAACAGACCCAAAGATACGCAGAGCAGGCGCCAAAGACCGGAAGAAAAAGACAATAATGCAGGAGAAGCATGGTTTATAAAGACAGCCATTGTTTATACTACCTACCCTTCATCTCAACTGTTAAGTCTAGATGAAGCTAGAGTGGGACGCAAAACCCTGTTTAATAAACTATTACTAATATCTCCATTATATATGCCTCAGAAAATATGTATTTCCATCTCTCAAGTAAAACAGTAGCAGTCCATAGCTCTCATAAAGTATATGGCTTGAATATACATGTACATGCACCCCTCGGGCGAATGGCAAATAGAACAACACCCCCCAACAAAAAAGGGGAAACCAAAGGCGGGGGGAAAGCTTTTAGTGAAAAAAGAAGAACAGTACGGAGCGTCTATATTATTATAATACACTTCAGGAGAAAACGCGATATGAAAAAGAAAGAAAGAAAACGAGAATGAAGAGAGAACTGTAACATGTAACTAACTAACAGGAAAGGCAGTAAAACGAAAAACTTTGAACGGAAACAATGAAAGAAGAGACAAGAGGGGACGAAAAACAAAACAAAATAAAAATAAAAAAATAAAAAAATAAAAAATAAAAAATAAAAAATAAAAAATAAAAATAAAAAATGAATATTCAGTTTTATTCATATATATTATTATATAATAAGAAACGACAGGGCGAGGAATGGCAGCGATGTATTATGTACACTCTATTACCGTCTAGGGTCATGGGAGGTGTAAGTCCGTCTCGAGAAAAAGAAGCGGGGGGCGCGTATGTATTGGAAGAAGAGACAAATACACGATAATGCGTAATGATTAAATTGGAGCTAGTTATGAAAAACAAAAGAGAAGACAAGAAAGAGGATAAAGAGTTTGCAAGAAAGTTAAGTAGAGGAACGAGACAGGGGAAAAAAAAAAATATGCAGGAAAGGCGTCGGTTTGTGGCGAACGTGGAAGCTTTGGGGATATACGGTTGCTGAGGGGAGAAGAGAATTATAGTTTAACAAGAATACGAGAGGAGAAGAGAATGGGGAGAAGACGGTTGAAGAAGTAGAAGAAAAGATAAGAAAAGGAACAACGGACGTAAAAAGAAGTAATTTATGAGTATAAAACAGGTAGGGTAGAAGAGCAAGTTTTGTTCTATACAGGTATACATGCAGGTTAGGACACAGGGCGTTCGTTAATCGAGCTGTGCGATGAGTGGTTTAACACGCGTATCATAAAGCAAAGGAGCAGAAATGAAACGCAAAGCGGAGCAAAGCAAGATGGAAACGAAAAGGGGAAACATGAATAATAAGGAACAAGTAGTAGCCAGCGGCCACACAGAAAGGTAAGAAAAAAGTGAAAAAAAAAAAAAAATGAAACCATACAGGGGCGCGGCAATGCATGATTAGTAGTTAAAGAGGTGGTCCCTAAAGAAATGCAAACAATGGTTACAGTCTGGCCCCGTTCAACAGAAATGATATAGACACGACAACAACCGCCAACTAACCGGCAACCTGTCAAGGAAGCAAAACATCAAAAAAGTAACTCCCCCCTCCCCGCCTCTCGATCACTTTTATTATCTAATGTGAGTTGACGGTGAGGGTTGGAGGGCAACGAAGCAGATGAACATATAAGGATATCAACATGGAGAAAAAAACTTGGGGGAAAAAAGAAAAACTACCGGCGACCTATAATTGCTGTGGCGTTCGTTTTTTATTAGATGGCAATACTCTTCATCCCTTCCAAAGCATTAGCGTCCGGGCTCGTCAGGTTACTTCGGCGCTTGCTCTTTTCCTTCTCTTTCTCTTTCGATGGAGCAGGAGAAGGGTCAGTATCTGCGGGTTCGGTGGGGATAAGGTCGCTCTTCGACGTGTCTGTCATCGATGTTGCTGCTGTCGTTGTTGTTGTAGTAAAAGAGGCCGCATCGACAAGACTATCCGCCTTCTTGGCCGCATCTGCATTCACCGAGGCGGAACCATCGATTTTGTTGTTGTTGTGGTTCTTATTACTGCCACCCGGGTTCACTGGCGAGGTCGTTTCTTCCGTGACTCGGGCAAGAGGGCTCGAGACCCCAAATGCGGTTTTCGGACTTGCGTTTGGTCCTCGGGAGGGGAATCGATGGGGAGAACGTCCGCGTTCGTCGCCGCTGGCAGCTGCTGTTGGGCTTCCGTAAGGAGAATCTCTGTTTCCATTCACACCGGTATTCACCCCGAGCCCGTTCGGGGTCTTTCTCCGCGGAGGTCTCCGGCCGTACTTTTGATCTGTGCGCCATCGTAGAATTTCGAGGTAAGGGGGTTCAACACCCGGTTGCTTAAATTGTTTCAGCTTGAGCTCGCCAGAGTCGTCGTCCACGAAGGATTTTGGGGAACATAGATCGTCAGCAACAATGGCCAGAAATCCAGCCCATGATCTTGCAACCACGTATTTGCAGTCATAGTCACGGCCAAAGATAATAACCTGGCCCCATTTGCCCGCAGGCCCTGGGGCTAAGTCGACGGCAATGTTGTTTCCACCCCAGTCACGAGCCAGAGGGATCCAGCTGGGATGGGCATATGCTTTCTGTATGGCCTTTGGTGGCTGTGAGTCCTGTTTGTCCAGCAATTCCTGTCTCCATAACGGGTTGGGGCCCGTTTGCGCCGGTGGTGGCGGAGGTGCTGATGAGGAGGAAGGGGCGGAGCTTCCGCCAAAAGCTTTCGTGGGTTGCTGGAGAGGGGGGAAAGACGAGGTACTGAGAAATTCTTCATTCACGGTCCTCCAATTTCTCCATTCCTGAACGATTTCCTCGCAGTCGAGTAACATGCAGCCGAAAATGATACCCGTTGGCCTTCCGCCACGTTCTTGTCCGTCGTGAATTTGTAGAGATTCCCGAACCTCGAGTGGCAGAGTGCAGTCCAATTCATGTTCCAGTTCATTTACATCATTCTGCGTACACCCTTCACCCAATTGATCGTAAAGTTCTTCGTAGTGTGTTTCCGCCCATCGATCGATCTTTCTCCAAGAATGCGAAACAGGCGGAGGGGGCGGGGCGCCGTCATGGAAACTTTGCATTTGTATTTCTGTAGCAACACCATCTGGGCTATTGAGTTCGTTTGACCTTCTGTGTTGGGAGGATAACGACCTCATGCCTGGCGAGTACGGTCTAACGGGAGAGGTAACTCCTCCTTGTGAACCTGACCATCCTGGGCTGGAGGACCGCTTAGCGGGATCGTCTTCGAAGAAGGTCAGATCCGGACGAGATTCGAGAGCGCTTGTAGCTATGGAGGTGAGGGGAGCATTGCGGTTTTGGCTAAGAGGAACGTGTTGGCCGGTTCGATAGGGAGAATCGTGGGAGGCGTGTCTGTCATTGGAGGTCATTGTATGCCAGAAGGAGCGAAAAGCCGACCCCAAACTGAGAAAACAAACTATTAATTAGCATGTGGTCTGCCATTCTCACTGCTAACGGGGGAAGACGAAACGAAAAGAATCCAATAAAGCAATCCGTAGGCAATACGTACGAGGACGCCATGGCGGGCGAGAAGAGAGAGACAAGAGTTAGGTGAAACTTGGGCGGGTGAGTTGCGGTTCTCAGAGGCTCAAAAGGGTATCAAAAGGGTATCAAAAGGGTATATCGACCAGAGGGAGGAGTAAGTTTGACTCTCGTCAACAATCAGGGTCTAACAGCGATTCCTAGCCAGACGAAGATCGCAACCATGGAGATAAGAGATAAAACGGGTATCCGGCAAGCTGATCGGCAATGACACGACACGGGGAGTGTTCTTTTTCCAAGGGAGGGGAGGGAGAGCAAAACGATGGGGGATTTCGCAGGGACAAAAGAAAAGGGCCTAGAGATGCAGGATCCCGATTAGGAGAAGGGGGTCTAGGCCGTGGCACGGCACGACAAGGAGAGGTTGGCAGGTCGGGTGGAGGGAAAAAGAAGAATCCCAAATGTCTTGGAAGCTCTTAGAGTAGCCGGTAGAGAGACGATGGATGGAGAAGAAAGTCGGAGTTGGCGTGGGAGCGGGAGTTGACGTCGAAGTTGGAGTTGGAATTGGAATTGGCGCTGGGAAAGGGAAAAAAAAAAAAAAAAGAAACTCCAGACTGGGGCGGGTATGGTATGGTATGGTAGTTATTACGCCTGGTATTTGCTGGGTATCGCTGGTATTGCGGGTACTGGGTTACCCGAAACCGCGCTTGGGGATGGCTATGGGCAAACAAACAGTATCTGGTACGGTATAACACTTTGCGTAGGCCCTTCCAACTCCTCCCAGAAGAGAGAACACAAGAATTGTTTCTTGTATTTGTATTTGTATTTGTATTTGTTGGACATCTACTAATTTTCAATCTTGATAGAAAAAAATACATCTACACATTCTTGGGTTTATTGCCTTTTCTTGTTAAAAATCCACTGTGTTAGTTAGGCATGGATGGAGCTATGTTTCCAGTTTCATCATTGCAGCTATGATGATGAATGAGCCCTTCATTAATTTCTTCCCCCAATCGAACCGAAAGCCCCTTTTTTTTTGTTTTTTGTTGCCTCTGCAAAGCATCTTTTTCTCTCCCTCTCTCTATCTAGATATTTTTCTCTAGTAGTATTTCAAGGTTTGTACCTGAACCTCAAACCACAAAAAAAAGAAAAGGCCATTAGAGAATTAACTTCCATGGAGAAACTCTCTTCAATTTCGAGGGCAATAACTAATAATTTCTAATAAATAAATAAATTAAAACCAAAATTCAACCATTATTTCCACCCAGGGTTTGGGTCCCTTCAAGCCCCCTTCCCTTCCCTCCTCCCCATTGGGTATTTCGAAAATCCTAAATATATCATCCGGCTGGCCTCTCCTCTCCTCTCTCTCCCTGACGCCGTTGTTACGCTGGACGCTGAGCCTTCCTTATCGCCCTTCTCTCCTCTTTTGCCCCCTTCCCCCCCTTCCCCCGTTGTTGTGCACGATAAAGGCCGCCGTGGGGCGAAGAAACAAAAATCCCCCTTGCAATTTCCGAAACACACTTGGTTAATAATAATAAAGTTAATATAACTACTCCGTACACCCTTCCTTCCTTCCTTCCTTCCTTCCTTCCCTTCCCTTCCTCCCTTCCTTTTCCTCTCTCCCGCCCGCAAAACTTCGGCTCAAGATTGCCAACTGGCAACAAACAAGTCATCCATTCCAGCTATCTCTCTCTCTCTCTCTCTCTCTCTCTATCTTTTCTTCTTTTGGACATTCCTGACGTCAACTGGCACCTCTAACCGCCACCGAACGCCCCTCTGTGGACGATCTGCCAATGGGGACCGGGGGGGGGGGGGGGGGAATATGTATTCCTAATTTTTAAAAAGGGATTGCCCACGCTGGGTTCTAATTAACTGGCCACTGGGGGGGGGGGGGGATTTTAAGTACCTACCGATTTATTATTAATATGGCGGGTTGGTGGCCCCTTGAGGGGGGGGTCCCTCCCCGAAACTTATAATGGGGGGCCCGAAAGGGGCTTTGCTGGGGGGAAACCCCTTTTATTTTTGGGTTTTCGGGCGCTCCCCCGGATTATAATGGAAGAAATGGATGGGGGGGGGGGGGGGGGTGGATGAGATGAGATGATCATTATTTGGGGGGGGGTGAAGAGTGGAAAACTATTAACTAACTATCATACAGAGTACAATGAATGTGCCAGTGTGATGGGACAATATGCTGCTGTCCTTCAAACAAGAAGAAGAGTTCAAGAAATTGAACAACTTACCTGATATCAAAAGAGGATACATCACATTTTATTGTGACTTGAAACATCTGACTATCTCGAAAGTAGTACTCTGTACTCCGTATTCAGGGACAAAGGTGATTTTTAACAACAGTCTCAAGTTTATTTATATGAACTTTTTACTCTTACAAGCTACGAGATGTATATTTCCCTCTCACCTATTTCAAAAGAGTTCAAAGTTACCTACAGTCTGTAGAGCTGTATATTTTTCAATAAGCTTCAGTGTTAAAAGATCAATCATACAAAGTATGAGATACAAAATCAATACAGAGAGTATGTAAAAAATGAGTGTAGGTTTAATTCATTTGGCTAGCTAAGATGCTATTTGCTACTTATAAAATAAACAAAACCACGGCATGGGGAGACATGCATGCATTGCAGATGCCAGATAGAATTGCAGAAAGAAAAGAAATGAAGGAATGAAAGAGTGTGGTTGTCTGGCAGTATGATAGTTGAACAAAGAAATGAGGGAAGGGACAGAAAAGTAAATAAGCAACGGAACAGTAAAGAAACAAGAGCAATACCTGGAATAAGAAATGACAAATGAATGACTAGGGTGAGAAGCAAAATCAAAAGAAAACAAATAACAGAATTGGAAGGAGGAAAACAATACACAGGAAATGTGTGTGAATCAAGCCATCAAGGCAAGTGAAAGATAAGAGGCATTCCCAGTAGTATGTATTTTGCAGCCATACACTGGAACCGTGAATATGAAAGGCGGAAGGGGAAAAAAAAAAAAAAAAATAAGAAAAACCATCCCAAGCACTTGGAAATATGGTGTTGGGGATGAGAGAAACCAAGCAAGGAAGCTTTAAACGATAATGGTATAGGTAGGCGAGAGGAAGCGGGGGCCGTTCGATCAGACGAGTCTGTCTGGCCAATAATACCTTGAAACCAGTCATCAACTCCCTTCCACCTCGCGGTGTCGCTAATTCCCAACATCCCGTTTTTTCCTTATATAAAAAAAAACCCTTCCATGCATTCCTCCATATGATATGCCCCTCTAGACGCCGTGCTAATGGAAGCGAAAATAGATAAAGAAGAAAGAAAAAGAACTGACACCAAACGGGACACCTTGAAAATATGCTCCAAGCTAACCGGTCATATAATCATATCGAATCATCTCACCCGTGCCATGAAACCAAAAAAGCCGAGCACCCCGGAATAACGGGATAACACGAGAAGAAACCGAACTCAGTAAAGATATAGAGAAGAGAAGTGTAAAAATGAACTCCTAACAGAAAAACTAACGGGGGGTGGCTTCAACCATTATCTGAATTATCAATGCCCGGCGTAGTAAGGAAGTGAAAATAGAAAATAGAGGGAGCGGTACGAGCCAAATGCGAGTTGACATTATCGGAAAAAAATACTCCATGGATAAGCCCCCACCTTAAACCCTTTTCCCCCTAAAATAAGCTTGATTAATGGTTGGAATCGAGCTTCAGAATGCGGCGCAAGTCAGCCTCCATCTGCTTTGCGTCAATGGGGTTAGTCCTGGTAGAGCCGGACCGAGGAGAAGGCACATCTGGATTCGCATGTGGATGGACCCTGTTTGGAGTGGGAGACGTGAGATTCACGTATGTCTGAGAGCGCTTTAGGTGCGATTGGTTACCCTCGGTCGAGAAAGGCGGGCGGTCGGTAGGGCTTGTAGAGGAGAGCTCCCGGCGAAGATTGGACGACGGAGTTCGAGACGCTTGAGTGCCGTTACAGACGGACGACAGGTATTGATGTGCAATGCTACCACTGCCTGGACTGCGGCCTTTGGGGGAAATTTTTGGTTCTTCCGACGGAACTAGGGTTGGCGGACCGGAGGCGTGTCGAGCGAACGGCATGGCATTACCAGCAGTCCAACTTCTCGAGCCACCGAGGAGGTTCGAGTCGTTAAGCACCTTAGGCGACGCAGATGACGGGCGTTGAGGTCGTGGATTTAGTAGTAAATCCTTCAACGCCTCGGTTTTGGCTTTCCTCTGGTCTTCGTCGAGCGGCACGGCGTCGTTCGATTTTGAAGGAGAGCTGGCCGAACGAAGAGCATTAATTCTGTCCTTGTAGGGAGTAGCGAATGACGGTCCAATTGCCATTCTGCGATTGTCCGGCGATTCCAGCTCAAGTGGGAAAATAGCCCCGGGGGTCACTTCTTGTGCTTGCGACCTTGGCCGGCTCTGGAGATTTGGCTGCGATGGTGAGGGTTTCATAGATTTGGTCACGCTGTTGGTTGGTCTGTTCGTAACCTTTGCCCCCTTTGCAGATTTGAAAAGAAATTCCAAAGGCGATGGGATCTCCTCTGTGCTTTGTGGAGGAGCAACGGCGGTCTTGGGCTTTGTAGGCGTGTGATCAAGAGGCCCTATGACTTGCGACCCACCTTCGGGTGACCCCAAGGCTGCTCCCCCATCCGGTACAGATTTTGAGAAGAAGGTTGGGATAGGCAGAGCGGAGGGAGCAGGAGATGCATGGAAAGTTGGGCCAGCATAATGGGTGCCGTCTTTGAGGGTAGATAATATGTTAGGTTGCGATGCTGAGTGACCGTGGCCAATGGTTGTGCCGTTGGTCATTGGTGAAGGGTTGGAAGATTGGGTGATGTTCTTCTTCACTGGTTTCCCTTTCTTCTTTTGCGACGCGCCCTCAGAAACAGTATTAATCAAAGCTTCTCCAGGACTGGGACTCGGCGGACTCAAACGAGCGGGTGGAGGAGTGGAGTGGTTTTGGTTTTGGTTTTGGGTGGAGGATCCGTCGCGAAATGTAGTGTTGGCGGGGGGGCCCGCCTTGGAGTTTTTTCGAGTACGGCGAGGGTTGCGAGGGCCCTTTGGGGTAGTAGGGGTCGGAGTCGACATTATGACTCAAAAATATGGCTTAATAAATAGGCAGCCTGTATGTAGAGATAATAGAAGGAAATATAAACGCGACAGAAGAAGCCAAAAAGATCCACGCGAAAAACCGATGGGCTAAATGACGCCAGATAAAAAAGCGAAACACCCAAGACGAAGGAATCAAAAAGCAGATCTATTGCTGCGAATCAAGCGTTCGATCGAAACGAGTACCAGAGCCGAAAACAATCACGAATGTGAGGGATCAAAGCTAGGTTCTCGAGGGCGTTTCTTTGGAGGCGATGAAGGTGCTGTGTATCTGCGTGGTTGGGTAGCTGAAAGGAATGACTGAGTGAAGGAGAGGGAAACAGATGCCTGAAGCATATTCATAATTTAAGAAGCACACGCATAAGTGGTGGAAATATATGAAGAATAGAATAGTAACTGATATCTAGGAAGCGCGGAAGATGGTGGAAGATATGGATGCGATAGATGAAGGTGAGGAGGATGAAGTCAAGAGACAGAGAGAGGTTGTTGTTTGTTGGTGAGGTTGACGCAGAGCCGCGCCCGCCATCCATGACGAGACCAGGAACCAGCCACAGATAACACCAGCCACAGGCTTTTTGCCTATTTGGGAGGTGAGGCTCAGTGAACTCCTCGGAGATATAGATCTTCCGAGCTACCTCACGCTCTGCTTATGTCATAGCGCCGGTTGTCCCTCGCTCGATCAACGAAAGCAGTGATACTATCATACTAGACGCCTGAATTCTTGGGGAGTGAGAGCAACCTGTGGATTTTGTGAAGCTATCTAGCTGTGGGATGATCCTTATTTTGTTTAAGTCCCCGAAATACGCCTTTGATGCTAAATAATCTAACCAGTAGCTAGTTATCTACTTCAATTAGGGCGCGCCGCCGAAGGCATCAGCAACCACCACCACCCACCACCCCAGAGCTCTCTATTGTCTACCTAGGTACGGAGTACTCAACAACACTTCCCGGTCTTGAAACACTAGCAACCTTCCGCGATATCCCTCCTTGTTACTTCCTCATTACACCTTTACGTACACATCATATTCGTTTTGAGCAAAACGGAATCTTCTCTCACACCCCCCCCTCCAACCATGGCCGACGTCGAAATGAAAGATGCTGCCCCCAGTGCTTCTGGGAAGTCAAAAGCTGTTGCTAGAGGAGGAAAATCAGCTCTCAGTGAGGCTAAAGGAGATGCAAAGAAACGCTTTGAGGTGAAGAAGGTTCGTTTTTTATAATTTAATTTTGCGGTGTAGCAGAGGCTTCTCTCTCTTTCCCGATTAGAATAGCTAACAGTTTGGGTTGTTAACCTCCCCCCGTGATAGTGGAATGCCGTTGCACTGTGGGCGTGGGATATCGTCGTGGATAACTGTGCCATTTGCAGAAACCATATTATGGATCTATGTGAGTTTTCAGTAAGATTGAAAGGGCGTGGATAGTGTAATTTCGGGGCGATGCTTGAGGGACAGAGAATTGAATATCATAACTGACTGCTTTTGCTCTATGCCTGCAGGTATCGAATGCCAGGCAAACCAAGGCTCATCCACGACAGAGGAATGCACTGTTGCTTGGGGGATTTGTAACGTGGGTTATCTCTCCCTTTCTCATTTCATATATATTGTTGATTCGTTGTCATTCAAAATGGCTAATCAAAATATCCCGTCGATAACGTATATGTTTATAGCATGCGTTCCACTTCCACTGCATTTCGAGATGGTTGAGAACCCGACAAGTGTGCCCGCTAGATAACAGAGATTGGGAGTTCCAGAAATACGGACGATAGAGCTAAAATTATACAACCATCCATACAACCAAAACGGAACGGGACTGGAGTTCCAATAATTTTCTTAGCGTTTTTCTTGGGAGAATATATTTCCTTTCAACCCCACCCCCGGAATTTAACACCCAACATCGCAGTGTTGACTAGGGAATGGCATGTGGAGGAGCGAACTCATGAGGCGAGTTATTTAGACCGGCCAGGTGGTAAGCTTGAGGGAAGACGGAGGGTTTGGAATAGAGGCTATGCGATGACGTTACGAAACATATTAATGAAACAAGGCCTTTTTTTTTTTTTTTTTTTTGTCATATCTATTGAAAGTTCATGGGGATTACTACACTTAAATTCCGAAGAACGAAAGTGAAAGTAGAGCGTTATTTCATTTCTACGCGCCCTATCACTTCCGCTTTACCCCCCTTCCTTCCACCTTGATGCCATGTATACGATCGCTATGTCCCTCAAGAAAACCAGAACCAAAAAAAGAAGTCCAAGGAAACAGAAACCCAACCCATTCCATTCCATTTCTAGAGTATCACTATTAGAAACACAAAATAAGAAATAATCCAAATACACGCATTCTAACTCCCATTGTTCCTCCCCCTACGTTAAAGCAAACCCATCCGTCACCGCTTCCCCCCATCCACCACAATCCCTGCCCTTCCCACACCCCCAGATCCAGCAATCAACCATGGTTCCGGATGTTTATTATACATCGGCCAGGGCGGCACAACGACCAGCGCTGTGATGAGCGTCCCCGCCAGCCCGATCCAGAGGGTCAAGTGTACATCTTCGTAGGTGTACCCGACGATGAAAGCGATCGCCTGTGTGTCCAGGTGGAGTTATTATCGCGTGTTTGGATTTTCTTTTATAGAGTTCAACGGAAAGGGGGAAGAGACGGGGGAGAGAGGGAGGAGAGAGGGAGGAGAGAGGGAGGGCTTACAGCAAAGATGCTGAGGAGGCCGGTACAGAGGTATTCAGCGATGCGCTGGCCGTGGAAATCCTGCAGTCGATTAGTTAAAGGGCATTAGCTCTCCGTTTTTCCGGTTCATCAAGACTTCATATTGCCAAAAGCCATCATCGAGACTCTGTGCGTAGTGCGCGCGTTGTTTGGGCAATTGTCTTTATTTCTAGACTTGCGAGAATTGCATGACGGTTTCCCGCAAAAGCGTCCACTGTAGGGCGGTATTTGGTGACGGAGATTGGGAAGGGAGATTGCAAGATCTTGTGGATATAAATTGTACGTACAATTTGGGCCTCCAAGAGATCTTGGAGGGGAGCGAGTATATCATCCATAGTGGGAGCTTGTGGTGTCTAGGACAGGTGTGCTCTGTAGATGGTAGATTTGGTTGATGTCGGGTTTTGATGCGGTTTGGCTTCTGGCCAGGTTATGGGGAACTGGAAGCTTCCCTGACCTAGCCGGATTAGGCCTAGCCGTTTTATGTACTGTACTATGCCTCAACCTCAGGAGGGGAACTAGTGAACCCAATAGCTAATTCACTTGACTGAGATAGCTATACCCAGTTTGACCCTGATTCCAAGTTAAAGTTTACCGTCTGTCCGTTTCATCGAACTCTGTTTACTTAACAGAGTTGAAAATCCGCTCTGGGCGGATCTAGATATGCTCGGCCGACGAATATCGGGCGTGCGACAGCATTAAGCCCTTAGCTCTTGAACCATACTCATAGATTATCAACTATGATCTTGAGCCACGGGCCCCAACTCCAGGATGGTTGCCGAAAAGTCGATCAATTCAACCAATACCTCGGAATCTGGCTCTATCCAAGGATAAAACAGAACGGCAATAGCAGACTTACAACACTACAGGAATTCTTTGGATATTTGTATGTTATTGTACTCCTACGCAGTATCACTTTGAAAGATGAGCGCCGTTATCCTTGTTGCAACAGAGGGATGTGGGAGAGATGTCAACTACTGGTATCACCCTATCAAGAGTAAGTATTAATACAAAAAAAAAGGCTGTCTCAGCATCTTCCCCGTCAGATATAGATAAAAGTCCAACTGGAACCAAATCGCCTACCAAATCGAGGCAATTGAGAATCAACGCCCTCAACATTCCATGAACAATGAAGATGTTACACTTAGAGAAACGGAGGGCGCTATGGATGACAAGGTACGCAAATTCACCGGCTTTCACCGGTTTCTAATATGCGCTGCTTGTTACTTGTCGGCTCTATGTATGGACTCGACGCTACTATGGCAGCAGACTTTCAAGAAGGAGTTATCTAGACCTTCCACAATTACCAACAATTCGCCTGGACTGGCGCTGGTTTCCCTCTCGGATCGGCAGTAATCATTCCTTCCTACGGTTTTTTTTCTCTTCACACGCTTCAACACGAAATGGTTCTATATCTCAGGGATTGCGCTGTTTCGGTGATTTCCGGCCTTTGCGGTGGCGCTCCGAGTATGAACGTCTTGATTGTCAGGCGTGAGATGGCCAGAGCTGGAGGGACACGTGTCTATCTGGGAGACCTGAACTACTTCTTGCCATGAACCCGGCCAGAGCATGGAGCAAGCGCATCTCCTCGGGATAGATCTTGTTTGGGCATGTGGAGCGATTCTAGAACTATTCGTTGGAATTGGGTTCTGGGACTCGTCTGCAACATGGCAATGGGGATACTATATCAACTCTATCATCGATGCAATCACAAGTCCTGTCTATTTGTTTTCCCTCCTATCAATCCATCCGGCTCGTTCGGAGCCGCTGGAAGGTCGACTGGCTAGTTTGGACTGTGTTGCAACATTTGTCCTGAGTGCAGGAATGTGGACCACTTTCGCTATGGGGTTGATTTTTACCAGAGGCATGTGGCAGAGGAACGACGGTCGTGCTTTTACAGTTGGGTTGCTCTCCTTACTCTTTATACCCTGCAACAACCCTTCTACAGTTTCACAACACCCGAGTCAGATCATTCCCCTGCCACCTACTCAGGTCCTGCACTCACATACTGTTCTATATAATGGCTACTGGCGCCAATACATGTGGGTCTTCTTCACCATGTTTTATTAACCCATCTACTTCCAATTCACACGGAACGATACTTTCGCCAAGGGCCGCGGTGCAGCTACTCCCCTGCCTCTCGTTCACCATTACCGCTAACATAGTCGCTAACATGGTCAGCTGGTGGGGCCTCTCTAAGATCAAATATTATATGAGATTCTCGCCACAGTCATGTACACTGTTTGCCAGACTTAATAATAGTGAGCTGCAGACTGCAGCAATTCGAGCCATCACTGAGGTGATGATACGGGGTTCGTCATTCCACGTGTGGCTAAAGGTCTAAGCATTACTGCCTCCTTGCTGACAAGATCGGGAAACGCTGTTTGGGTAGATGCTGTCGGAAATATATTCCGGGGCAAATTCAATTGGGAGAGCACGAGATAAAGCGATTGGCAGAAGCAAAATAAATTCTAGTCGCTTCCAATACTTCGTTCCGATAATGATAATAGCCCTCCGCCAATGAACCTAGTCATAGATATTGGGGCGTACAATATCGCCTATTCCCAAGTTGTTTGTACGGGTGTACAAATTCGACCAAATGAACCCAAGTCAGAAGTCAGGAGTAGGTTTGCCTGCGTGTTGTTAGCGCAACTATCCTAACACGGCCAAGACATCACATTTAGCCCATTTTATGAATTAGCATGCAGGGATAGTCCTTACTCCGGCGAATGCGGCCGTTCCCTATTCTGTAATCTTCTGCACTGATTCAAAGGAGCTTCATCGCTTTCAACCTCATCATATTTTGCTTACCATGAGCTGCTCCACTGTTACACCCTCTCACCATGGCCATGCAACAGGAACGAAAGCGCCGCATTCAAGCGTGTTACCCCTGCTACACGCGCAAGCAGAGAGTGTGTAAAGTTTTCCCCCATGGGCAACTTGCAGAGCGCAGAAGAACGCAGAAAAAACGGGTGCCGATTAGTTTCCCAGTGTAACCGTCAGTATCCATGCAATCACTACAGCCGCCGTCGACGGGCCGAAGAGTGTATATATAGCTCTCCTTCGGTAGATGGTTCCGACCGTCGTCCGGCAGCACCTGTCCCGGACGCTCGGAGCCGGCTACCACCCCAGGATGCGCAGCAGTCGAGAAGTGGATCAACCGAACATGAACCTGAAGGTTACCAGCCTAGCAAGAACTGTGCCATAGCCAAGACTTTTGGATACTTTGAGGATAGCAACACTAACACGATGACTCTGCTGCGGAATGTGTGTTGCCTAATAATTCTAGTCGGGACAGTTGCTTAGAGCTTATTCGACCTTTTTAGGTTGACTTGATCTATGAGGACTACAAAGATCTACTCGAACCCCCCATGCAATCTATGAGGGATACAGTCCAACTTCAGCTTAGGCGTATACCAGACCGCCAGATCTTTGATTTCCTTATGCAGTACTTTGTCAGTGAGTTGAATTGGTAAGATTGATAGGGATCCGCTTCTCAGAGATGTTGCATAGGATTCTAATCCAAGCACCCTATATGATGGGTGTAGGATGAAACAAGTTATCCACGCTCCCAGCTTCTTAGCCCACTATCAGAGATGGTGGCCCAAAAAAGAGAACCCAATGGCTGTGTCTGATATCGAGTTTGCAACTCTTATTGCTCTCATTGGTTCTTATGCAACGCTGTTTCTACCTTCGCCCTCCCACAACGTCGAAAACATCTGTGGCCGGTCACTCTGTGATATTCGCGACACATGCAGTGATATTGGAGAGAAACTTGCCAAAGTCTGTGAAACCTTCAAGGGAAGGGTTCTCTCTTTCGTGTGCAACATGTCTTGTTCGCCGCATTGAAGCAGTCATGTGAAGGGGGTACAGCTCAGTTTTGGGAGGGCATAGCTTCTGCGTGCCGAGCCGCTCAGAAGGCTGGTATTTACACAGTGCCTACCGATACGCTAGATTCCTCCCTTTCCACTGGAGATAGTGCCCAAGAGCTAGAAAGAGAGGTCCGGGATGACTTTCTTCACTCTTTATGTTTTGGACAGGTATGCCTCCAGATTATTACAACTAGGACGGGTTTACTGACACCATTTTGATAATAGCCATTTAGCCAGACAGCTAGATCGGGTCCCTTTATTACCCGATTATTTGGTCGCAGAGACATTGCCCCGGTTGGCCTGATCTCGGACCATGGCAATTTACCGCCAGGCGCCCATGTTAATGCTCCAGATGTATTTGGCTGATGGAAGCTCAGCTAAGCCGATTCTGGCAGAGTTTCAAATTAAAGAAGAACTCCCCGTATGACCCAACGGAGCGGGAGCACAGATATGAGAGACTCTGCGTCGAGTATCTGCCTACCCTAGACCCAGCATTCGCTATAGATCACCCGGACATGACATGGGATATATCTCTTCCAAATTTACCTATGCAAAGGCAGCTCTTGTACATCGCTATTTACGACTCACTCTATTGGAATTTCCGGACAGTTCTGCTGCTCAAACCAGGCTATATCGACAGCCTCCACCCTTATAAGCGAGTACTTGTCCAGTCCCAAAAGCAGAGACTTGGTCTGGCTGCAATGAAAACGCTCGAGGCTGTTACCACCCTCCATTCAATGTTTGGTGTCTCTTGTACCCGCTTTGCCGTCATTATCTTCAACACCTTCGAGGCTACCGTTTTGTTGCTGTACCTTTGCGCCCATGCGGATTTTCCATTTGAGCAGGGAGACAGAAACACTGATATACTGGGCGTGAAGCTTAAACTGACCTATCAAAGGGCGATTCAAGTGAGTAGGCAGGCTGTTAATCGTCTGCAAATGCTGGCCGAGATGAGCGAGATGGCTGCGTCCGGCGCTGAGGTGACGGCTCAGCTTTTCATCAAAGGTGTCAGGGCCAGGCAGCTTCAAAGCCCAGGTACCGCCGCTCCGGCTAGTCCTGATACTTCATGGAAACCTCCAGATCAGCCTACTATGGAGGCCATCAATGATATCCAGGACCAGTGGGGGTTCTTAGAACAAGAAAATCCCGTTTTGACGACGGACATGTTCTCCTCAATATTACAAGACGATTCCTTTTCAAATCTGCAGCAGTCATCACTGGAGATCCCGATGGCATGGAGAGGTACGGGGATCTAGTACTGTTTAATTATGCTTCAGAGCCTCGCGGACAGGCCCTGCGGTCAGCCATGATTTCTTGACAGCAAACAATGTATATGTCCGTTTTGCAATGACTTGAAAAATAAAACCTTATGGAACAAGAAGACAATGGCAAGGCGATGATTATGATTATGATTAAAGGATGTGTTTGGGAATAGAATATTACGACAACTAGATAAGTAATTATTATGAAAACTTGATAAGATTATTTATTTATACTTTATTCTACTCCATAGAGAAACTGATACCCCCTCGTTCGAAGGGAAGCGTGTGTCATTATGGCCGAACAATCTCTGTGACACCGATCACCGTCTTCCACGGTGCAATGTGTTTTCTTTCTCCAACAACAAATGGCAGATCTCCACCACTGTATACTGACCAAATATAGGCGCTGGGTGTCATTGTGCCATAGCTCGAAAGATTGCAACCGGACTAAAAAGAGATGCTACGCTCGCACAAGGTTGGCTGGGTAGTTGATCAAATCTTTCAACCCAGAGAATAAATCCACCACTAACCCTTCCTGTATGCTGGAATTCCGACACTTCCTTCCTACAGATGCTCTATCTATATCCATGCCTATATAAGTGTGGATATGTAGACATACAACCGGATCTTGGTCCCTCTATCGGGCCGGCATGGCATGAGGCGGACACAATGATTCAAAGACAGCATCTCCAGCTGGCAGATGGCGAAGGAGATCCAGAGTGGATAGGCAGAAATGAAAGTTCAAGGGGAGGATGCAAAACATGGCTCAGAGAGCCTGCTAGCGTGTATATATAGATGTATCAATGAAGGAAGGATAGAGAGATTCTATCCCCCTTCCCCCTCCGGTAACAACGAAGCGTACGAGGCAAACCTATCTAAATCCACTAGTGAAAAAAAAGGCCGGGGAACTGGACAACACGCCGCATTCCATCCAGCATCAGATACCGGGGACGGGAAACCAGTCACTAAAGCAGGTGCTTGATGCGCTACGGTACCCCCCCACCTCCAATCCTACCTCGCTAAATCAGGCCTCGCGGAGTTCTACCACTAACCACTATTTCATCTCCAGTGTCATGGTCGTGGTTACCAACCCCTGCTCCTGATCCTGACCCAACGCCCACCCGTTTACGTGTGCTACCGCAATTATGGACAGAGAAGAAAGACCGCAAACAGCGTTTCACGACTAACGAGGCATAAATCTAGTCAAATAGGCCCCTTTCTCAAAGGAGCCGGGAGTTCTGCGGGCGGACAGGCGGGCCGGATAAGATCAAGCGGAATAATCGGAAAGAGGAGGATTGAAGGAGGGGGTTCATATTGAGCAGATATGATGAGATTTTTGCATTTTGTGCGATGGCTGAAGCCGTTCCGCAACTCATCCGTGAGACTCTTAAACCAATTTCATTTTCAAAAAAGATCCTGCAACTTATATAAATGCATGATTATAATAACCACCTAGATTTATGATATAGACGGTAAGGCAGTAGTAGTAAATTACAGATATTTGTCGGAAATTCCAATATTCTATTGAATGTCTGTTTCCCACAAAAGAAGATCGACGGAACACAAATTAAACGAACAATTTAACTTCTTAATGATGTTCTCCTCCCATACCATACCTCCCAAAGGTAGCTAATTCAAAGGCGTAGAATGGATGTGCATTGGCTTGGCTCTGATTGGCTCATTCCTACATTGAACTTGCAGGTGGCTGGCCGGAGGGGCTAACTTTATCTGCTGCAATTCTGCACCGAGTGCTCCGTAGCTGAAGAAGAGAATAAAGAAGGGACGAATGGAGCGAACCAAGGGCATGCATGCATGCATGCTTCATGTCATTAGTTTTTGGGCCGATGTTTGGCGGGGTAAATAAGTCCGAGCTATCTGAGCACGAAGGCGACTGACCCAGAGGTTCTGTGGAGGTGGGCGGAGAGAGATCGCCGTAGAACTGAGACACTGCCTGCCTTCTGCACGCAATCCCGGACGAGCCGTGATATGTGATGATGTATGATGATGATGATGATGATGCTATGTTGGCGCTGTTGTTGATGTTGAAGTTGACAGTCCCGTGACAGGGCCCAGACTTGCCCGAGCCCTAACGCGAGCCCTAACTTAATTCTAGGCCTGGCTGACTAACCCACTTGGGCTTGGAGCCGATGGCAGCCGCCAAGCCGCTAAAAAAAGTTTGTTTAGCCCACCAACAACTAACCCAGCCGCAGACATTCGCCGCCCGCCAGTCGTCGCCATTCAACCTCATCCCATCTGATATCTTCGTCCTTGTGCTGTTTCTCTTGGTTCCACCACTTATACACCCTTTCAATCAGCCCATTCTGTGGCCCTATACTGCCTGATATCTGAACCTATCTGTTTTCTGCCCTTCTAATCTTTGTGTGTGTATTATACCTCCCCCATTGCTTGAATCACAGCTGGGTATCGCATCTGCGCACTCATCTCGATCATCTGTGAGACGGCCAGCCAAACAGCAAAGCCCGTCTCTTCCTCTCCCGCATCCTTCAATCCAGCGACCCTGGAGTCACTGAACTCCTCTTCTTCACCTACAGTCAAGTTGGCGGGGCTCAACTACTCCAAGTTCTCCTTCATCCACCCACTGCTGGGCCCAAAGTTCCGGGTCTTCTCTGGGGGCGACATTCGGCCTCCATAACTAGCCTTTCACCATAGCAAGAACCTTTCATTCTAAATATATATATATATATATATCCCTATATACATATATATATCTATCAAGGGCTGTAGAAGCCTAACACGGAGCAAGCAAGCCCTATCGCCCGTGGGCTGGGCTGGAGGAAAATTGGGACACCCATACCTTCGTGTGTCCACACCCGCGGCATCCTTTCAGTTGTGGCCTAGTCAACGCGCAGTGGGTCGCTTCCGGGCGTCTCACCTCTATAACGAATTCCGCACATCGCGCGAGCGTCTTTTCCGGGAAGGGAAGAGGATTTTACAAAAAAAACAAAAAAAAGGAGGATAATCAACAAATCTGGCTCGTTCAATAATCAAAAGGGTCGATCCACTCATTCGCCATGAGTGAATCACCAAGATCGGAGAAGTGCCAGACCCGGTTCAGCACTCCTGCCCCAGAGCTTGATGATCATCGTTTCCAGCCCGAGTCTCTCCCTAGGGCGGATACGGTGGGCGAAAATGTGCTGAGCTGGCAGGAAAAGTTATTGCAGGCGCGCCAGGCACAGGAAGCGGGAAGCCCAGCTTCCCGCCGTGCGAATGATACTTTGCATCCCGAAGTGGGGATGATATCGAGAGATTTTGAGAACGCTATTATCGATGATGAGCTTGGTGGCCCGGGTGACATGCGTTCCCCTGCAAGCCCGCTCACAGCGATGCGACCGAGTCTCCACAGTCGTAGCTTCACTGTGCATGACCGCCCGACTCGTTCTCGAGCCTCGTCAGCATCAAGTCAGTCGACCTCCCCACCAAATTCTGTCGAGGCGTTTGCCGAGCCGCGTCGCCGTGAACGCGCCAACACGATGGAGAGCCATGCGCCGTTGGACTTGGACATCGCTCTCCAGAGGACCATGTCCTCCGGTACCAATAAGCGCCGCGGTACCTTCAGCAATGCGAGCGCCATTGGTGTGGACGCCGTGGACCCCAGAGCAGGACTCAGCGAAGAGGCGGATGTGTGCTTCCCCGCGTACGATGAGCCCGGAAAGACATCAATCATCGACTTCGAGGAGTTGGAGGAATTTGTTGCTCTGAGCAAAAAGGCTGGCCCTGTCCTGGCCCGCAAAGTTAGCGTCACTTCGCAGAGGAAGCCTCGCGTCTTCCACGATCTGAGGCCCGGGTCGGAGGCGAGGGATATCCCCAAGATTGTCATGCGACCTTCGACCCCTGAAAACGATTCTTCTGTATCCACAGACACTGCCGCTGGTCTCACAAAGCATATTAGCCACGCTGCGGATGAAAAGGAAGTTAAGAATCTCCATAATGAGAACGAGCGCAATCGTTTCAGCTTCTTTTCGTCCGAGTACCAGAACACCGTCCACGCCTGTGAACTGGGCGGCCTGGTGCTTGAAGGGGAGACTTTCCGTGACCTGTTCCATCTAGGCCCTGAAGGGGGTGTATGGTGGCTCGATGTCCTCGACCCGACCAATGACGAAGTAGGAGCTATTTCGCGAGCCTTCTCCATCCACCCTTTGACTGCAGAGGATATCATGATGCAGGAAGCTCGCGAGAAAGTAGAATTGTTCAAGCAGTATTACTTCGTTTGTTTCCGAAGCTTCTACCAGCTCGATAAACTCAGTGAAGACTTCCTGGAGCCAATCAACGTTTACATGGTCGTTTTCCGCGAGGGAATCATCTCCTTCACATACACGGAGAATCCGCATGCGGCCAATGTCCGGAAGAGAATTTCGAAGTTGCGCGACTACGTGTCTCTCAGCAGTGACTGGGTTTGCTACGCAATGATGTAAGTTCAGAATATTCTTCATCAGCAACCTTACAATTTCTTTATCGAAAAGAAAAAACCCACAAAACTAACAAAACCTCCCACCATAACAGTGACGACATCGTGGACAGCTTCGGCCCCGTCATCCGCGACGTCGAGATTGAATCAGAAGCAATAGAAGACCAAGTCTTCATCGCCCGCGTCGAGGACTTCAACGCCTTCCTCCCCCAAATCGGCGGCCTGCGCAAGAAAGTCATGAGTCTCATGCGCCTCCTCGGCGGCAAGGCCGACGTCATCAAGGGCTTCTCCAAGCGCTGCAACGAACAGTACTCCGTGACACCCCGGGGAGACATCGGCCTCTATCTCGGCGATATCCAAGACCACGTGGTAACCATGATGTCCAACCTGGGCCACTTTGAGAAAATGCTCAGCCGCTCGCACACCAATTACCTCGCGCAGCTGAGCGTGACGAATCTCATGCTAGGAAACCGGGTGAATAAGGTGCTGAGCAAGATTACGTTCCTGGCGACGATCCTGGTGCCGCTCAATTTGATTTGTGGGTTGTTTGGGATGAACGTTACTGTTCCTGGACAGACGAGTGAAGGGTTGGAGTGGTTCTTTGGAATTTTGGGAGTCATTGGGGCGATTGTTGTCTTCAGCTTGGTGATTGCGCGTCGCTATAAGCTTCTATAAGCTAGTCTATTCTCGGTTTTTTTGTTTTTTTTTTTTTTTTTTTTTTTTTTTTTTTTTTCTTATTCTTATACTTTTTTATTGTCTGTTGTATTCGTAGTTGTGGGTGGAATTTAGATGAAAGCACAAGTTTTTCTGGTTTTTATTTTTCATTTTCTTTGTTGCTTACCTTGAGCTATCCTTTTGCTGTCTATTTATGTTCTAGAGTTCATTAACAAAAAATAAATATTGTACATAGTATTGATTCTTGCTGCTCTTTTCTCGTTGTATATATCATACATAATGCCTGTAGCAATACATTTTGCATTCATATCTATATTAATGTAAGAGTCCTTACATCCTAAGATGAATTAAAAAGAATTTCCCCCTGTCTATATCCTTATTTAGATGCCGGTGATAATGGCAAAAAAAATCCCCCCAAAACGCCAAAAATGCCAGCTCCCGCGCCGAACTCAGTGCTTCATCTGCAAGAAGCAAAAACAGAAGAAAAAGAGCCAGAGAAACCCTTTTCAATCCAGGACTTGTTAATGAAAAAGATTCTAGAAAAAGCAGAAGAGTCATGCAATCTTCTGCTTCTTAAAATTGAACCCACCATTACCAAACTCCTTCGACCTCTCTTCCCTAGCGCGCTTACGCTCCATATCTTCCTTCATGATGCGCTCTGTGGCGGTGAGCGGTCTAGGTGGAGCTTCTACCTTTTTCTTCTTTGCAGCGCCTGTGAGGGCATTCTTCTTAGACGCGGCGGCGAAGACGTTTTTGGGTTTTGAGGTGGCTGCGCTGAGTTTTAGTGATGTTGATGGTTTGTCGGATTGAGTGGTTGTTGCTGTTGCTGTTGTTGCTGGTAGGGTCGGTTGTGCGGGTGTTGTAGCTGTTGAATCTAATGGAGATAAGCTTTTCGTCGTGGGTTGTTGGCTATTTCTATCCTGTGATGTCGTATTTGGCGGAGCTGGAGATGCAGACGCAGACGCAGACGCGGATATAGGAGTAGCAGTTCCCTTCGAAGGTGCAAAGTTCAATTTAATCTTCTCCCCTTCAGTCCGCTGCAACTCCTTTGGGGCGGCCGCTTCGGCATCATCTTTCTCAGCCGATCCCCTCCCCGCGAGTTCTCGATCCCTCTGCGCCCTCCGCACCTGCTCCTCAATCATCTTCCGCTCCCTCTCCTCGTCGCCGCGATCCTGCATCTCCCTCTTCCTCAACGCATCCTGCCTCCTAAGCGCCTCAGGGCTATTATCAATCCACGAAATAAATATCCCCTTCTCCCCCTCCTCAACCCGACAAATCCCCTCCCGCCCCAGATATTTCGCAAACTCCGTCAGACTCGGCCAGCGCGTGGCATTCATGTGTATGTGTTCTTTGTTGGCGATGTATTCTTGGTAGAAGTGGTTGATGTTGATGGACTTCTCTCCATGGCTGGTGCGGAGCTGCTTGAGGAAATCGGAGAGGAAGTCGTTGGAATATTGCTGGATGTATTTGCGCGGGTCTTCGCCGACCAGCAGCATCTGGCGCACATGTGATTCTGACTGCGTGTGGCATTTGAAGCCGTTCTCGTCGCGCATTTGTCGCTCGCAGACCTGGCAGTACCATCGTAGGCGCTGGAGGCCTTTGGATTTCAGCTTGTTACTGAGGTATTTCGTGCTGCCTACTTCGGCGCGAGGCATGGTGGGCTAGTTAATTTCTGCTTCTTCTACCTCTTTATTATTCTCTATCCTTGGCTCTCTTTATATGAGTAGATAAGAAGGAATGTTTCGGTATATCAAAATAAATACATGTGAATATCTCGAGATAACAACCAGCTGGGGTGGCGAGCGTTTAGTCATCAGTGACAACGGATATATGTTTATCCGACAAGCTGACTATCCAACTTCCCTTGATTATTGAAGGGGATGATGTTTGATGCTCCACTTGCTAAAAACAGGACTGCCTGTTGAAAGCTATACATATTCATTTTGCGTCGGTTTCTGCGTTGTATTGCGTTGTCGGACGAATCAATGGGACCTTCCCCAAACCGCAAGCTTTTAGCTCCTAAACCGCATGTTATACAACTCTCCTTGCAGGTTTGAAGTGCATAATACCCAGTACGCACAAGGCGGACGACGCAGCGTGAATGGGCCAACAGAGGCCCATGTTTCTCATACGGGCCCTTTGGAACCCAGCTCAATAGCACTCTCTGAGCAGAAAGTTTCTTTTCAGGATGTCTTGCCTGAAACTCTCCCCCTTGCAAGCCCGCTTCGCGGCATCTCTAGCAGCGACTCTTTTCATCATCATCGTCCTCTACTTCGCCCTCTCGAACCCAAGTCTCGCATATGCTATTGACGTTGACTCGATAATAAGCAAAGATCATAACCATCCAATATTGCGGGATATCGGCTTTCCTCCCGGCCTTGATGACTTAGCGCTCCAAACCATCCCGAGTCTGGACCTGGATGCTGATGCCGCGGATACAGTGGCTTATATCTTGCGAAGAGCTCCAGGAACTGCCATGGCTTTAACGAATAATGTTCCTGAGGAAGGAGAGTTGGATATGGGCGCGACACTTTATTTTTGGATATCTAAGGAAACTTTGGCTGGCCCAAAGTCTAACCCTTCCGCGGGACTCCCTGGGGATAATGAGAATGGATTTCTAGATAATGTTTTAATAGTGGACGAGACGGAGTTGAAGCGGCCGAATGATACGCTGGCTAAACGAGCCACAAAAGTGTATATATCTGCGACCACTTGCTTGCAACCTACGTTCAATGCGACGAGAGAATCGCAGGATGTGGGACCGCCACAATTACAGCTCAAAATTTCCACATCTGGGAATATTGAACAGCCAGCTCCTGGAGAAGAAGACCCGGATTTGCGGGTCATAAACTTTGATGGTGGCTATGCGGGCACCGTCGTTGAAGCTGAAGGGGATATCCACATGGCGGTATCCGCGCCAAGAGACAATAAATATTTCGGCTCATACAAATTCGAGATCGCAGCGTCGATTGATCAATGGTTTCATGAAGCGGAATCTAATATCCCTTATCTATTCTTCGTCGATGGCGATAGCGAGTCAGCTTTGCTTCAGACAAGGGAAACAACTAACGCCAACCCTGACGATGAAATTTACAAAAAATGGATGAACCTTGATCCGCCACCGTTTACAATGTTTGCCCACGATATGAAGGATAAGTCGATTTTGGGTGTACAAAAATCGTACTGCGGGCTTAAAGCCAATGCGCAAATTCGCAAGGACGGGGATAATGTACAGGTCAGCATGACCAACAGGGGCCCCAAGCACAAACCAAAAGAACAGTTCTATATCCGAGGCCTAAATAGTAGTTCATCCTATTACGGGTTTCTAGCAATAGAGGGCAACTCCACTGATTCTGGCAGTGGAGTAGTTGGCGGCGGCGGCAAGGTTTGGAAACCCACGAACTTTACCACCAAGGCAGGTACGCATGATTTTTAACCCCTATAAAGATGGGATGGATCCGTGTGGAGTATTGCTCCCTGACATATATGGTCACGATATACTAACGCCCATATATCCACCAAACAGAAAACAACTGCGCCATCCTACACGACCTCGAATTCTGCTCAGAAGTAGCATACGCCGTCCCCTCCAACCCATCCATAAGCCGCACGGACCTCGCCAAGATCTATGACACCCACGCCCGCAACCTCTACAAAAACTTCTCCCGCTCCCTCGCCCAAATCCCCTGCAACACCTCCGACACATCCCTCTACTCCCTCGCCCGCAACTGCACTGACTGCGCCGCCGCTTACAAACAGTGGCTCTGCGCCGTCACAATCCCCCGCTGCGCCGACTACTCCAGCACCCTCCCCTTCCTCCGCCCGCGCAACACCGCCCAGGCCTTCCCCAACAACACCGCCATCGCCCTCGACAGCCCGCTGCGCCAAATGGTGCTCTCAAACTCGTCGCGCAACGCGCTCATCGACAAGGAGATTAAACCGGGTCCGTATAAAGAGGTCTTGCCCTGCCAGGACCTCTGCTATGAGCTCGTGCAAAGCTGTCCTGCCGCGCTAAGGTTTTCGTGTCCGACGGGCCGGTGGTTGAATGACTCTTACGGGATGAAAAGTCCCAATGGCGATGTTACGTGTAGTTATTTTGGGGCGGTGTATTTCTTGAACGGGGCCGGTGGGGTTGCTGGGGGTGGGTTCATGCTTGTACTCGGTGGAGTTGCGGGCTTTTGGATGGCGTTTTGGATGTTATAGATTCTACATTTTGCGTTTTCTTGCTCACTCTTTCTTTCTCTCTCGCGTTAGCTTTAGCGATTCTATTTCTTATCTCTTTTGGCCGAAACTGGTAGGCATGGAGGTGTGTATTATCGATCACAGATAAGAGGGGGGGTATGTAAGTCATTGAGGGAACGGGGCAATGGGTTGCCTGATAGTATAATTAATGGCTTGTCTAAGATCGCCGGGCTTTCCACAAAGCTCATCGTCCCACCATTTTTTCGGCACTTTTGTTTGAAAACCGGTGTGGTATTGCGAAATATTCATACCCCGGCAATGCTGTTTACCTTGATCCCCTTCTATCATCTACATCCATTTAAAATCATTCTATGGTTGCAGAAGGCTCCGGGGGTTCGCTCTTTTCCATATCTCGGTTCTCTGTTTTCCCTCTCATGAACAGGATAGTAGCACCTTGGTTACACCAACAATACACTTCTGTAATAGACCAATTACTTACTTCACCGAAAGTAGCTAGCTAGCTACCACATATTTTTACTCAACAACGTTCGTTATAATCAATATTTCATGGTCCTTATTAAACTCCAGCCTACTACCCCAAGCAGGAACAGTTCAAACATATAAAGTTCCACCTGCGAATAATTTCTAATATGAATACGCTGTAGAGATGTATATAGAGCAAAACATCGGGATACCAAAAGCACAGAAATGTAGAATGATGTTGATTAACAACAACCTCATATCCCCCAACCTATTCGAACCCAGACCTACTTCCAACGCCTCCACTCCACCTCCACCCCCCCCCCCCAAAAAAAAATCTACCCTACTTCTTCCTCGGCGTCACCCTAGGCGTCCACATCTCCCTCGACGCTTCCTCAACCCCCACCCCCCGCCGCCGCCCCGGCGTACTCCCCACAGACGCCCACAGCCTCTGCGCCGCCGGCGTCAGCGACGCTTTACTCAACCCCTTCCCCCCACCAGGCGTTCTCCCACCAGCACCAGCACCAGCACCAATGCCACCACCCCCAGGCGTCCTCCCAAACGCAATCATAGGACTGCTCGGAAACTTCGGCACAGGCGTGCGGCCATCCCTCCCCGCGCGCTCCGCGCGCTTGTTCGTCGCGACGCGCTCGACCATGCGGTGGTGCAGGCGTTCGCGGCGACGGTTCTCGCGGATGGTGAAGGGGTTCGGGGTTGCGGAGGGGGAGGTGTCGATGTTCATTTTGAGGAGGGAGAGGTGGTAGGCTTCGTCGTGGCCGTCTTCGCCGGGCTGTGCGGGTGCTGGCTCGTCTTCGTCGACGAAGGCGTAGCCGTTGACGCGGGGCGTTTCGCCGCCTGTGTATCCTGGTTCGGAGCCGGCGGGGCGCGGGCGGCCGGCGATGGCGTCGCGGATGGCGGAGAGGGAGGGGGAGGGGGGTATGCTGCTGTCGTCCTTCCTGGTGTTGGGGTCCGGGTGTGGTGGTGGGATGGGTTGGACGCGGGTGTTGCTGTATATGACGCGTTTGGGAGCGGCGCGGGATGTGGCTTCCGCCTTCTGCGCGACGGTTTCGTGCGTGTCTTCGATGGAGGATGGGACGAACATGAGGGAGTTTTCGGGCTTGTAGGCCCATGCGTCCGGTTGGGCGGGGCGGGCATCTTGATCGGTTGTGATGGGTTGGAGTTGTTTGTTATCATTATTATTGTTATTATTATTATTCGTAGTAGTAGTCGTCGGACCTTCACCTTCCGAAACCGCAACCGACGCCGAAGCCGAAATCGACAGCGCTATAGAAGAACTGGAAGAAGAGGAGGAGGAGGACGAGGAGGAGGAGGAAGGAAGAGCAAGCCTCCCCATCCTCTCCGCCTCCCGCTTCCGAAACGCAATCTGCCTCGGCGCCAAAATCTTATTCCCATTCCACATCCACGCATACTTCTGCCGCTTCTTCACATTCTGCCGATCGAGCAACTTATAGAACGACTCGTTGTCTTCACTGGTATACTTCGTCTGGAACGTCGACAGGCTCATATTCCGCACATCCACCACCCCATCCTCACTCCTCGTCGAAGTAGCCATCGAAACCGTCGAT